CAGCCTGTACCGGAAATCCCTGTTTTCAGGATTCTCAGGCTGATATTTGAATTAAAAAAATTCTTCCAAATTTGTATGTGGTTATAGCTTTATCAAGGCATACCTAGAATCTTATCACTTTCAGTTGCTGGTATAGCCTTGTGTGGTCGGCGCTATGTATTTGGGATATTGGGTGTTGACCCTGCTTTATCCTGTAAATAGCTGACCTGGTTTCTCTTTGTATGAAAATGTGCAGTGGCGTAAGGTATAATATTCCATTGCTGCATTTCGCGTAGTGCACATAAACCCAGTAGAAATTAGATAGGTGAGCTGTCGAATGCCAGTGAATTGGCCCATTGCACTTGCCTGTACCGTTTTGGTTACTTAAGCCACCGCGCCATAGGTTATCATGGGCCTTATCTCACTTGTGTATATTCGTATGGTCATTTTAGGGATTAGACCCCAGTTTTTTCCACATATTCTTCTACAGCTTACAACAGCTATTGTAGCTTTTTATGTGAGTTTTTTGAAATATTGATTTCATTTTAGCCGAGGCATTTGGCTTCTGTCACAATTGGAATAACCATGTTGTTTGATACACGTCTTAGTCCAGTAAGTACCCGTTTTTTTGTGAATGCTACAACTGTTTTTAATGGACAATTGCTTCTTTTTGCATTAGTTATTTAGAGCAGTTTGAGATCGCACCGAGACTCTGCCTGCAAATCGCCCCCTGGCGATAATTGCAAGGTCGTCTGCATATCCGAGGCACTGGTAGCCTTCTTTGGACAATGTTTTGAATAGGTCGTCCACTAGAACTGGCCACAGCATTGGAGATAATATTACATATTGTGAACAGCCCCGTGTAACTTCTGTCTATATGGCTTTTTTTCCTAAAGTGGATAAAATGATTGTGTTCTGCAGACTGTCAGAGATCCATTGGCATATTGTATCTGGGACGTTTCTTTGTTCTAGAGCCTTCGTTATTGACTTAGTTGAGGCATTATTAAAAGCTCCTTCGATATCTAAGAAAGTAACTATTTCGATTTCTTTGTCATCTATTGACTTTTAAAGCAGCCTATTTAGATCATCCAGCACTAGGTCAGTTGACTATCTTGGCTGGTATGCATCTTATACTTACTCTACATTAGTGACTTGTCAGCTCTTGAAAATACGACTGTAGCTTTATTAGCTCCTCTCAGTTGGTTTAGAAAGATCAGTAAGAAAACTCCAATTCTCTGATTAGATGAACCAATAAATGAAAAATTAGGTGCCTATTTATGAAATCTTTATTTATAAACAAATAGCAGAGCCTCTATCTCTAATTATCAACGGAAATACCGTACTTCATTAGCTGAATGCAAAGTACCTTGGCATTACCCTAGATTCCAAGTTACGAGTTCATGTTAAAAAGAAAACTAAATTGGGATTAAAATATAAACAACATTACGGGTTCTTGGACAGGAATTGAAAACAATAAACTATTAATCTACAACCAGGTTATAAGACCAGTGTGGATTCACGGCATTTAATTATGCCAGAGATAGCAACGTTAGGTCCATCCAAATCTTTTAGAACAAAGTAGTGAACGATTCTTGGTTTGCGCGCAATGCAGATCCTCATTCAGATCTTGGGATTTCAATAGTGAAAGAAGCAATCAAAAGGTGTATTGGCAAGCATGAACCCAGACTTCACCTACATGCCAATTCAAATGCTCTTCAGCTCCTGGACAAACAGAACCATATCCGACAATTAAATAATACCAAGCCATTTGAACTCGTGTAGTGTGTTATGTATGTGTAAAAGCAGAGCATAATGCACGAGTGATATATTAGTCGGAACAATCTAATGAAGATCGATGGATTGACTTTAGCTGATAAGTACTTAGTTTAAAATTGTTTTAAAACATAAGATATAGTTAGTCCATAAGACTAGTTTTAATGATAGGCACAATAAGGTGTCTGTCTAATCAAAACATCTTATAGGTATCGTATACGTTAAAGAAGGTACTACGCCTCAAAAAAATCTAGTTCTTAATTTCATTTCTTGGCCCAGCATTAGCATGTGCCAAGTTTTACGTATTCTACTGTTATATCCATATTGATAAATACTGTATTTTCTAAGTAGGAAAAGTAGCACATTCTTTTCTGAATTAAACGTCGAAAGCGCGTACTATTTGCAAAGGCAGTATAAACTGATTATTCAACCGACTATTCTTAATATTCTAGAATTTAACACTATAAAGTGTATCCTCATTAAACTAAACGGTAAAGTTAATTATGAAGCTCAGTAATTACGAAATGAATTTTTAACGACCCTTCCGTTTATTTAAAGGATTTAAATGTACATTAAAAGTTGCGAATTATGCTATAAAACTACACATTTAATTCCGATAATTTTATTAGCTTCTAAAAATGAGATTAAAAAAAGGTATGTTAATGTTTTGTTATATAAACAATATTGATGAGTGCGAAATAATAAATATTTATTTTATTGAAACATTTATTTAATTTTAATAGTTTGGCAATATTTTAAAAGGAGAAATGAAGCTATACCTTTAGAAATAAATTAAAAATCAAGTTTTAGCCATAGAGCCGTCATCAGGCTTCAAATAAATCTAGGTCAATATGTTAATTTGTATTGTAACACAAATGTTCTCAGATTTAAAAAATACTTTCGACTGCTAGATCCTTCTCGATTACACCTTGTGGTGAAGAAGGAAGCTATGGCGGCGCCACAACTAGAAGAGATAGGAAAATGCTATTTTCCCAGGGGTTTCAAAATATGCATACCATGTAATTTGCTATGTTTGCGATTTAAGAGACTGACCTACATGCGCAGTTGTTGTAGTGTTTCAACAGAAGTGTCATTTATGTCAATCCTTTTTTCTTTTAAAATTCGCTTATTTAGTAATTTCGAAAATTTTTAGGAGTTTAACTATAGACAATTAATAAAATGAGAAAGAAGTGGTTTGTTTTTGATTGTATAAACAACGAGGATTCGGAAAACATTACATTCCCCAAGTAAGATATATTTTCTTGGCCAGAACCGTATTCTTTATTTACCACATGTTTCAGACAATATTTTCTAAAAAACAAAATATCGTTATACAATAACATACTGTATGTATCTAACGTTGATATTGTTATAAATGTTCTTGATCGAGGAGAAAGCGTATGCTTCTTGGTTAGCTATTGGAATAAATCCATTGAAAAATATAATCGCAAATAACGCTATTTTTCCCTTGCGTTTTTATAAAGATGATTTAATTGTTTTAAAACGAAAAGTTACAATAAAAAATAATGCAATACCTTCTATAAATTTGCCTTATATTTCGATAAATTTATAACAGTAGTGTTATGAGGTAAATATCTATACATAAGTTTATCAATTTGTTTCTTTTTATAATTTTTAAGAAAGTGATAAAAAATTATTAATAATACTAGTTTTCACGGTTTACATACCCCAGCTAAAAGTTGTTAATTTATTGTTTATTTAGGTAGAATTATCGAGAAAAATTATTAAACAATTCTGTTACGTCTGATTAAGGAAATATTTATTTACTTAGCTGGATTACATAATTTTGGTATTAATACTAAAAAAATTAAAAATAATTAATTTTTGCATTCTTTTTATATTTATTTAAATCAGTTTCTTCTATAATGGACCTATGTAATTTTCACTTTTTTTATTTCCCAAAAATTCTTTCACAAATATTTTGAATGACTTCCAAGCAGATTTTGCATTAAGAGATAAAAGGCTTTCAAACTGAGAATATTTCATAATATTATGGATCTGGGGAACAACAAATATACCCTCTTTCAGTTTTGCAATGCTTGGAAAGATTTTTTGTAAATCTGGAAAGCATCACTGTTTTTGTCAATTACCTTCACAAATTTTTTCATGATGTTACGTGAAATTAATTTTAAATTTATTTTTAACAACAACTTCTCCATAACCCCTCGTAACACGACTTAAACGACCACAGCTCGCTTCCTTCTTGAAATTTGGAAAGTACGGTTTGCGCACGGTCCATAGGGTTTCTTTGAACAACCGCGCCGAGGTAAAGCCGATACGTTTGGATTCAACCGGTCTTTTGGTGCATCGAGTTCAACGTGCTTGTGTTGATAAATTAGCTGCTAGTAGTTTTTTATAATTATCTTGTTAAAATCGAAAAAGTGCAAATTTTCTAACAAAAATGTAAGAATTCTCAATAATGAACCTAACCTCAACAAAAGAACAATCCTTGAGATGATACATGTTAAAAAAAATCTCTGTAAATAATAAAATGGACATAAAAAATTTTACAAACGTTTATTTTAATATTATTAAATAATTTTAGGCTTTTTAATCCTTAGCTGTGACGCCACTGGTAACTTTTTAACTTTGTTAAAACACATCTTTTTATTTCCCTATTTTATCGTGTTAAAACAAATTATTATTTCGAATACTCCTTCAAACTAGAAAGATGGTGTTCTTTTATTTTAAAAAATTTATTTTTTTATCTTTTTTGTTTTTTCTTTTATTTATCAACTGAAGAAATTTGAAAAAAAGTGCCGTTTAAATACGCTTATCTATTAACATGAGCGAAAAAATTCCAACAATTTATGTGTATATAAATTGAATTAAATGTAGTAAATTTACACGTTATTTCGTGAAATAAAAAATCATTCCCAATTTATAGGTATATAAATTATGGAATAGTAAATATACACAATAATAATATTAATCCTATATTAATTAGTATTAGGAAATGAATAGTAGAAAATAATGTAGTATAGTTTAGTATTTATAATATAATTTGTATCCAAATAGCGTTATCATAATTCAACTAATTAAACCTCACATCGAAAAACTCGATAATATCCGGGTATCGAAGTGATTAAAAATGTTTGGATTCCGAACAGGAAAAAACTAGTGGACTGCGGGCTACATTGAAAAACTGGTTCGCGTGGCGTTTAATTAATTGTTTTGTATTATTGTAAATGTAAATCGTAATTTTAGTTTGAATTTATTTGACTTACCAAAGGTATATATTGGATTAGGTTGAAAAGGGCAACTCCCTCGAAACGAATGTGAAAAGAAGGCTCGTGTACTTCTTAATATAGTAATGTTTACAATCGGTTGGATATACTCGGACTGTCTTCTGCCTTTTCTTCAAAAAGGTCGCGATACGTGCTATTTTATATGAAGGAACAAAAAAGGAAAAGTAAAACCATAGGCGGACCATAAGGTTTTAGAAATAGATTCATTGAATATAATTTTTTTTATATAAAGAAAATAAAAGCAAGTTTGACACGAACAACCTATTTGGATACAATTGTAAATACATTATAAACTTTTAAAATTTAAATGTTATATAGAATCGTGACGATCCATTCTGGATATCTGAAATGAAAGCTGCAAGAGAATATATAAAGAAATTTAAAACCTTAAACAGTCGATATATTATTCAGACACCAAAGTAGAATATTGGTTCTTTAGACTTTATTTTATCAAGTTTGTAATAGGTTTATATGAGAAATATGTAGTATAAAAAAAAACATTTAAACTGTTAAAACATAAGCTTAATACAGATCATTATAAGATAATGACAATATTTTAATTCTAGGGCTAGGAATGAATGGGACAATAATCCTTTATCTGTGCAATTTTTACATTTACTTAGACTAAGACTACTCCTTTACCATAACATTAAAATAATAATGGCCATTGCATTCTTCACTTAAGTAGCATTATAGTGACAGAAACTTATATCGCCACTTTGATTAAGTGACTATTACGTTATAATCACTAAATGTACCCCTATATAGCGAGAATAACTTATATTTTCCCAGTTGTAGTAACGAATATTTCACCACTGGGAATCACTTCAAAGTTTTATATTATTTAGTTGCCTCTGAAGGTGTTTGAAACGTTATAGCCACTAAGCTGGACCACTTTAAAGTTGCACAAATTTAAATGTGGAAAATAGTACTTACGGCCACCAAATCATATTACTTAAATACCACCTAGAAGTGGCAGTAATCTTAAAGTAAGTTTGATAGTTTTAGTAACGTTTCGAGAACCATAAATATATCTTTAAATTGGCGATACTTGTTTGTATAACTGCAATAGTTCTTGCCATGTTTTTGCCACGCTGTTAAGTGATTTTCACATATTGCGTGGAACAAACGCCACTTTAAAGTTACCATTACCTTCAAAAATTTTTATAAAGCAACCGTTGCCTATTAGTGGCCTGCTTTCTACATTGTTCGCCTTTACAATAAAGACAAAATACCAAAGTGTCGTCGATCTGTGCGCAAATTACTTATCTTGAGTGCATTTGTGTGTAAAATAAGAAACAACAAGAAGCCTAGCAAAAAGATTACTTTTCGACATTCGACAACTTTTTCCCACATTTCGGGAACAACGCAAAAACACACACCCCTCTTTTCTTAAGTCGATACAATTTTAAAACGCATATCTAAAACTAAGGTGTGCACACAAACACAATATAAAACATTAAATACATAAATTTAAGTGATCTGTGACATAAACAAATTTAACCGGCAAATTCTACTGTAAATTTTGAGGTTATATCACAGTATATTAACCGTTGAGTAGCGACAGCTGGGGAACCAATTTCTAGTGCTCCGACGCGAAATAGAGAGGCAAGACGTCTTCTAAAGATGTAAACAACCCCTTTCACTTTAGTCCGGCAGCTGATATAGGAATTCGTTGTTGTGGATTTATTAGTGCTCTTTTATTGTGTTTTTGTTAAGATTTTTTGAGGTTTTGTGGGTTTTTCATTATGCCAGGAAATGCTTGTGCTATAAGTGATATATATATTTTTATATTTACTACATAAGTTAAATACTCATAAATATAAAACTGCCTAATGACCAAACTTTTATTATAAATGTAAATTACAAAAGAGTTTTACTTCAAATTACGTCGAGCAGTGTAAATATCACATTCAAGACCAGTTCATAATTTGAGCAGTGTTTTACTGTGTCGTTCCGTCAAAACGTCAAAAAAAAGAGAAAGAAAATTTGTACCACCCAAGTTTAAAGGCACCGACGCTTTATGTCGCTACTCAACGGTTAATATACTTTAGTTATATGGAATAATACAACTAATACAGTGTTGTGATTTTATCAGAGCGCAATTTTCCTGAGAATATATAGTATACCAATTTTTTCCATAATCTTTTTGAATGTACACTATATTTGTACACTATATTTGTTCAGTTATTTTTAGAACAGCACTTAAAACGTTTATTAGAAGATATAAAATAAATTGTTAAATACATAAGTTATAAGGCTTTACTAGAAACTACTATTAAGATAAACAAACGGTAACCAGAAAGGTAACTAACAAGTATCAACTTTGTGAATTAAAATGGGAATCCTATATATTTTTTACTATGGCGATTCCAAATATACTGGACCTTAAATTTGATTAAGCCATTTTACGATACTCACGATTAAAATTGCTTTAAATTTACATTACTCCGATCTAGGTTGATGGATGACATATTTGTAATTTAAGGTAGTTCACTCGTAAATCGGCTTTTCTTAAGAATTCAATAAAATTGAAATATAAGGTTAATGAAAGTGTCTTTTAGGTAAATAAAAAAAATTAAATTTTTTGACCGTCTGTAAAACGAAATATTAACAATCAAAATATGCATAATTAACACTCTTGAAGCCTCTCATGTACACAAGTATTGCATTTATTTCAAGATATCTCGAAAACGATTCTAACCATATTCTTTAAAAACTAATGTAATGTAAATCAAGAAATTATAAAATTTTCTAAAGAAACGCTAAATTTTTTGACTATCTTAGTAAAAAGATATAGATTTTTAAAATAAAAATATTTTTAAAGCAATCGACGCGTAGTTCCGTAAAATTATTAAAACTTGGCAACGTTGTATACGCTGCAATCAACGCGTTGTACCAACATAACACTCGATCAGCTAAGAGGATGTTATAACCTCGCGACGTTTTCTTGAAAAATTAATTCGTCCACTGTATTTGAGAACTGGAATCAGCGGTTCTGTTTGAACCAAAACAAACCCTTAAAATTAATGAGGAAGTAACAAATTTCTATAGCAAACCATTCATGTATTTATGAGGTTGCCGGATGGATTTTATTAAAATCCATATATATAAGCTTACATGTGTTTTGTACAGTCTCTTACAAAAATAAAATTGATTAGCATTGAGAATCTCGAACTATTGGTATTCACCATTAAGCGATATTTTTGTGTACGACTGTCGAGAGTGAACTACCTTAAGCTGAATTTGATTTTCCCCCCTAACATTGGTCTTATTGAACAACTCAAAAAATCTGAAATAAGTGGAGAAATAGCTGATCTGACAACAATGTAAATAATTAACTTTATGGTGGAAAACACTAGGTGGCTGCCACGTAACCGCCATTTTGGAGTGGTAGCCACGTTCCGCCCACGAAAAATGCTACTTGGGAAGTATCACATCAACATTTCACAAACGATATTAAATAATACAACAACAGTACCATTGGAATATAGTGATATTTACATTGTTTAAAAATATACAGTATGTTAACCCGATGCATCAGGAATAATAAAGATGATACACTTAATTGTAATTGGTAAATACAAAACTAATAAATCTGGTACACAGATTTTTTGAAGATGAAAAGCATCACAGGAGCCTGGATTTGCTATTTAAACTCAAGAAGGACTATTATTTTATACCTGAGGTTACTGACATCGATCTTTTAGGCTGAAGTAACAACAATAAATGCCTACGCCAAGGTTATACTAAATTAACAATCTAAATAAATATTTGGTTGTCAGAAGTCGCTCCAGGTGCTGGCAGAACATAATCAAAGTCACTCTTGAATGGGCGCGAGGACATGAGGAATTGTTGTAAAATGAGAAAGCAGACGTCCTAGCTAGGAAAGGAGTTTAAAAAAACCCTAATTAGACCAGAACCCACTTGTGTTATTTTATGTCGACATGTTAAATGGGTGCTAACGGAACAGATATATAGAGAACACTATAAAAAATGAAGGCCGTAACCAGACTCTTTACAAGACACTGCGGCCTAAAGAAGACACTTAAATCTTTATATATAATATCTGATAGCTAATGGGTACCTATGTACAATATATGAAGAAGATGAAACTTCTATCCACATACCAATCCATTGCTGGAACCTTAAAATGGAACGGGAATGGTACTTCAGGGTTCAATATTCAAAATCTGAAAAAATCTCCAAAGCGCCCATCATACATATATTCTTGAATTCATCAAGAAAATTAACCTTATGTGGTAGAAATAATTAGGGGAAACCTAGAGTCTAGAGCTTCAATACGAGTGGACTTTGATGAACCACATTTTAGTTAAGTTGTATTTATTATATGTTGGCGCATACACCTAAACATGCTACAGTAGTAGCATTTATTAGACTGATATATGATTTTTAAATTATTATTCTTCATGCTTCCAGTATATCTCAAATTAATCTAGAACTTCGACAGGCAGTGTCCATAGACGTAAGGGCTTCACTTATTTACTCACTATAACGAATAATCTTTGTATAGGGAAAATGAATATCGTAAGAGGCCCAAATGAGGCAGAGAAGGACTTAGAATTAGAGCCAAATGGGATTGGCTGTGAATAGCTTGCACAATAATATATTTTCACTTTATTTAGGAAGGCCCCTAGCATTTACTTTGTAATATGGAATGTATTATGTTAGGTTTTAAATAGTAGTTTTATTACATTTATTTACAAACACAGCAAAAAAGGCTATCAATTAATTGCAATTTTACTTCTAAGGTCTTTTTTACACCAAATTTGATATTGTAAAAATTTACTTATTCTGGCCTTGTTAAGGGTTAATCAACAGCTTGTAAATTATTTTTAAAATAATAAAAAAAAAATGAATTCCAAATCTGTAAAGTAACACGCAACAAATTTGCACCTTTAACATTTAAAGAAAATACACCAATAAGCACTATTCATTTTGATTGGTCAAATACATCTATGGATGTTCCACAAGGATTCATATAAGGTCCGATTTTTTTATATTATTTATAAGTTTCTATTTATTTTCCGTTGTTTCTGCGTGGATCGTTACTAAAATTTGCGATCTTTAATAACAAA